TATTTTGGAATTTCATGACCTTATTTTTACATTCACGAACTTTTCTCATATTCATGAATTTTATCAACTTTTTACGAATATTTTTGAAATATCATGAACCTTTTCCTATTTATGATCTTTTTTAATGAACCTTTTCCAAACTTGTGACCTTTTTTCAAATTCATGAATTTTTTTAGTTAAATTTTATTTTAAATTCATGCACTTTTTTTAGTTTGTGATTCTATTCAAAATTCATGATTTTTTTTGAAATTCATGAGAACATGAAACTTTTTACAGTGGTCAATCCATGTGCTCATATGCTCACCGGCGCCCGCTTATCTGCTCGGCCGCTCGCGTGTGAGAGCCGGTTTGCTAGGCCGGCCCAAAAACCATACCGTGTGAGCGTTGAATGGCATACATGGGCAGAAAGCGCTGATTAGGAGCTCCATATGTTCGGTGAGTAACATCAAATAGACGACGCCATGCACAGGAGGTCGGCCGACTGGGCCTGCCCTTGGAGCTAGCGTTCAACAGCGAATGCGCACTGTAGCGCTCCACAAAACTCAGGGGCGAAGAATTGGACACATGATCTCCTGATGTGGAAGAACATACTACAACCAATTCACGTAGCGAGCATTTAATGTTTTATAGCACTGCAAAACCTTAAGGACATCACCGATGCAAAATATTTTTTAAAACTTCGAATGCAAAACAATTTTGTGAAAACAAACACTTTTTAGATTTGCAAACAAATTTAAAAAACCAAGCATTTTTAGAAAACGAAAACATTTTCTACAATCATGTTCAAAAATAGACCATGTTCAATGGATTCGGTTAGGCTAGAAGGGTCCGTTTGAGAGCATAGTTTTTTCAAATTCCATCAAATGACCCCATATTTTTTCCTATGAACTTATATGACCAATTAAAGGCCCCATGCCAAGTTGTTTTAGTTTTCAAGAAAATTTGTATTTTCTGGAGTGTTCTCAGTAAAAAAAAAGGCAGATAAATGAACGGACATGTCACAACTTGCATATGGTGTTGGAAATCGTTCAAACCTGGCAGGGATGCCTTCAATGGGCATTCCCGCCTGCTTCCAAAACTTGGCGTTATTTCAAGAATGGCCAAAACTATATCATGTTCGACGGAAGGTGTTTGAGCAGGCCAGAAGGCTCCGTCTGGGAGCACGTTGTTTCTTGGCGTCATTGAAATGGCCCCCCAAATTTTTTCCGTGGCCTTTTATGACAAAATTAGGGCCATGTCAAGTTGTTTGGATTTTTGATAAGTTTTGCATTTTCTGGAGTTTTCTCGGCAAAAAAGGCTCATAAATTGCCCGACATGTCGCAACTTGCATATGGTGTCAAAAATCATTCAAACCTAGCATGGATTCCTACCAAGGGCATGCCCACCTTCGTGCAAAAGTCGGCTTCATTTCAAGGATGTCCAAAACTAGACTGTGTTCAACGGATGGTGTCCGGGTAGGCCAGAACGCTCCGCTTGAGAGCATATTTGTATCTCGACATCCTTTAAATGGCCAAAGTTTTTTCCGCAAACTTGTATGACTAATTCAAAGCACCATGCCAAGTTGTTTGAGTTTTTCACAAGTTTTCCATTTTCTAGAGTTTTCCCAGTGTAAAAGGCCGACAAATGGCCAGATGTGTCGTAATGTGCATATGGTGTCCGAAGTCATCCAAACCAGACAAGGACACCTAACATGGGCATGCCCACAAGCTTGCAAATTTTGCGGCAGTCCTGAGATTTCCAAAAAATTAGCAAGTTCAACGGAGAGTGTTTGAGTAGGCAAGAATGTCTGATTGGGAGCACCTCATCAAATGTGTTGCTTTCAAATTTGTTATGATCTAACGTGTTTGCTTGGTGTAAACTGAACACTGAACCGAATAAGCTAGTTAATCGAATGAAAAACAAAGATAAAAATAAGAAGAAATAAAGCAAAATAAAAAATAAATCAAAGAAAAAGAAGGCCAAACAAAAGCAATAGAAGAGGAAAACCAGGCTGAGAAACTGCACAACAAGAAGAATAAAATAAGTAATTAGGCACAACAATAGAGCTGCCCTAGTTGGTTATAGCCGGAGGAAGTAATCCAAGAGGTTTGGAGTTCTATTCTTACTTTATGCACTTATTTTATGAAGGGTAAAACAAGAAGAAAATTAAATTGGCCAGGCCCAAGACGGAGGGGTGTGTGTGCCGGTTTGTGTGGACTAGCTGACGCTCGCTAGATTCGGCCATCGACTGCGGGCCAGTAGGGAACCTCTCTCTCTCATGCCCACTCGCTCGCTCACGAGGTTTTTTGTTTGCTATTTCCTACCGTACATTTTTTTGAAGAACACTCATTAAGAAAGGGGATGGTGTTTAATTACAAGAAGACTTTTCAAAGGTTAACTATTGACTTTAATATAATTTAAAAAAATAGGAATTCAAGAAAGTTCACACAAAAAATTCAAAAAGCTCATTGGATTCAAAGAAAATTCATTGATTTGAAAAGAAGATCATCAATTTTGAAAAAGAGTTCACAAAATACAAAAAAGTTCATTCATTTTGAAAGCATTCGTGCAATTTTTGGGAAAAAGTTCACCAATTTTGAAAACAAATTCACAAATTTGAAAAAGTTCATCAATTTTTTAAATCGCTTATTAGAGAGATAGTTCACGAATTTTAAAAATCATCAATTTCGGGAAAAATTTCACTGATTTTGAAGAAAATTTCACGATTTTTTTTAAATCATTGTTTAAAAAAATCATGAATTTTAAAAAGTTCGCGCATTTAATAAGAAAAAAAAGGAAACAAAAAAAGAAAATGAAAAAAGAAAGAGAAAAAGGAAATTAAACAGGAAACGGTGTGTTTTTCCCAGTGTTGTATTTTAAGGGTTGAAAAACAAATGTAGCACATGAGGTTTGATTGCCCAATTCGTTAGCACGACTGTGATAAATCTGGAAGGAGCAGGGTTCGAATCCTGTGGGACACTTTTTTTTTTGCGGTTCTAAAAATTGTTAAACAGTATACAGTGAGTGAAAAAAAATAAGACCATCATGCCCTTTATTATGAAGAGGTGTGGGTTAATCTGAGCTGTCCTTGTGTTTAGGGGGGTGTACCGAGGCAGAAGTGTAGGCAGGGATCAAGGTCAAGGATCATCCGTTGTCGGCGCATGGCGCCGTGGATGCCTTGATGTTCCTTTTTTTTTTGAAAAGGAGGATTACCTTGGCATCTGCATATGCCTGGGTGTTCCCGACGTCCCAAATCTTCCAGAGGATGAGTAGAACCGTGTGGCAAGGTGGATGGCGTCCAAGTACCTCCCGACACCTTCTATTGTGAGTGGTTTTATGGCAACTCGATTGCCTGCTTGTACAGACAAGGTCATCAATTTGTGTGGCTTGTCATGCAAGGATCGCTAAGGTACATAGTTTTTGGGACCCAGAAAGTGGAGGTGACACCACAAGAGGACTTACATTTGGTGGTGTTTCTTGAATACCCAGGCTTGGGCTCTAAGGTGAAAACACTACAGGTCTGACCCTAGTGGATCATACATGGCAATGACAATGTTTTTTGCACTGTTAGATTGTAATAGGCATTGCTTGGAGTTCACTTGGACATGTATTTCAGGATGAAACCCCAAGATTTGACCTTCAATGGTTGGATCCGACAATAGCGACGTGTATGTGTGTTGCTTTGGGAGTATCTTTCTTGTAATGCCTGTGTTGGCAAGATATGGTTGGGCTGATGGTTGTTTTTGTACTTTGCCGATGTAGCTTGATTGCTTCTGGGTTTTTTTCTTTACCCTTCGCCAAGGCATACATTAGTCTGGTGGGAGTTTGCTTTTTCCAGGAGTGATCCTTTGTATTTGTGTGTTGATATTGGTAATGTGCATGTCATGCAAAAGTCAAATGTGTGTTCATCGTGCTTGTATCCCATTGATGTTTCATTACGTGTAGTTTTATGGCAACTCGATTGCCTGCTTGTGCGGACAAGGTCATCAAATTCCGTGGCTTCTCATGCATGGGTCGCTAAGGTACATAGTTTTTGAGACCCAGAAAGTGGAGGCGACATCACAAGAGGACCTACATTTAGTGGTGCTTCTTAAATACCCAGGCTTGGGCTCTAAGTTGGAAACACTACATGTCTGACCCTAGTCGATCATACATGGCAATAAAAATGTTTTTTGCACTGTTACATTGTAATAGGCATTGCTTGGAGTTCACTTGGACATGTTTTTCAGGATGAAACCCCAAGATCCGACCTTCAATCGTTGGATCCGACAATGGCGACATGTATGTGTGTTGCCTTGGGAGTATCTTTCTTGTAATGCCTGTGTTGGAAAGAGATGGTTGGGCTGATGATTGTTTTTGTACTTTTGTCGATGTAGCTTGATTGCTTCTGGGTTTTTTTCTTTACCCTTCGCCAAGGCATACATTAGTCTTGTGGGAGTTTGCTCTTTCCAGGAGTGATCCTTTGTATTTCTGTCTTGATATTGATAATGTGCTTGTCATGCAGAAGTCAGATGTGTGTTCATCGTGCTTGTATCCCATTGATGTTTCATTACGTGTCAATAAAAAATGCCCCTTATCACAACAAAATAAAAACTTTCAATGTGGTTATAATATTCCTTGACAGGGTTGTAATTCAACCATGTCGAGTACATCATACATTTTATATGTGGCTACTGCGATAGATGACTATAAAGTCGACGTACACTAAAGACGATTAAGAAACATAAAAAAATATAGAGAAGAGAATATGATAAAGGAAACCATTAAAGAACACACTAAATGGTGACATGCTCAATCGAGGAAGGAAATAATGACTGGCCATATAAAATATCACATGTATTGTATGGATAATTGGATATGCATGACATTTAGCGATAGAATTAATAACGTACAAAGAAATGAAAAATAATCAATTTCTTTGGCGTTATATAAACACTAGCACAAGGGGCATAGCTGCTACGACATATTCGCAAGAACAATAGCAGGACAAAGAAAACTAGCTAACTACTCTAGTTTTCCTTATGGCTCTTGTGAAGAACAACGTGCAGACTATGTGCCTGGTCGCTCTTCTTGTAATGTCTACCACTTTCTTGCCCTCTCATGTAGAAGGAAGGGTGATAGGTATGTTTCTTTCGTCTTCTTTTCCCTTCATATTTGAATGTTACTAACTGACAAGTTGTTATCGTGATCCCCGTCCCCTATGTGTAGATACCAAGGAGACGATCCTCACGTCGTGTTTACTTTGGAAAAGCTGCACAATCGATTTATGCAAGCAAAACTGTTCAATACGTGGATATGCTAAGAGTGAAAGCAGTTGTGTATCATACAACAAAGCTAACTACTGCTGCTGTGCGACGAAGTGAACGACACCGCTATGATGGATACCATCCATCACCCCCTGCTACATCAAATTATTTCATGCGAATAGCAAAAAAAGACCATTGGATGTAATTGATGTACCTGATTCAATAAACTTTAAATTTTACTAGTAGTTGGTTAATGTATAACTGTCAAGTGTGAGCAAGTGGCGAGTTTTCGTTTTGCTGGAATTGTTATGTATCGGAGTTGAACACCTAAAACACTAATTTACGCTCTAGTGACTTTAAAAATTGTGAGGTTTAGAGGATGGTCGATGGAGCACAAGGACTTAGGGGACAATTGATTTTCTTCTCTAAGGATACCATTATGACTGTAGTTGAGTTCCAAAAATGCATCGACGACCACCCCCACCTCTATTAGGATCAATGGTATGGAGAATTATAAAATAATGAGATGGAAATATTATCTATCTCCTTATCATACATTCGCCAGTTTGCTGTTTTAGTTACATGCTCCCAAATCTTAAAGGTCATTGATTAGATGAACATCTAATAGATACAGCCGGGATGTGGTATGCATCTCATAAAACATTGGGAGCGAAGTATTAATGAGTTATCAATAACATCGTGGATATACATGTTATGCAAGGATACTAGTTAAAGCCTACTAGCATACTCAGTTAAGGTTTATCTGTCCAAGGCCTATGACTGTGTCAATTGGGTCTTCCTAGAGAAGGCCCTACTCAAATGAGGCTTCTCTCAATTCTGGATCTCCCAAGTTATGGCATGTGTATCTTCGGTTAAGTATTCAGTTAAATTCAATGGCAAGTTATTGGAAAGGTTTACCCCTTCCAGGGGGCTTCGGTAAGGTGATCCATTATCCCCCTTTCTGTTCCTCTTTGTTGCTGGTGCTTGCTACTCTTTGAGTTTGTGTTGATTTTTTCCTTGAAGAGGAAAAGGTGATGCAGCAAAGTAGACATAAGTATTTCCCTTAGTTAAGAACCAAGGTATCATCCCAATAGGAGGAAAACACAAGTCTCCAATAATTGCACCTGCACAAACAAATAAATACTTGCACCCAACCTGATAAAGGGGTTGTCAATCCCTTCACGGTTACTTGCAAGGATGAGATCGGATAGTGATGGATATAAAAGATGAGCAAAAATACGAGATAAAATAAAAGTAAATAAATTGTAGCAAGGCATTTTTGTGTTGTTGAGTTTTTAGATTTGAAAATAATATGATAAAAGATAGATCTGGGGGCCATAGTTTTCACTAGAGGCTTCTCTCTTGGAAGAAAACATACGGTGGGTAAACAATTTAATGTCGATCAATTGATAGAAAAGCGCATAGTTATGACGATATCTAAGGCAATGATCATGTATATAGGCATCACGTCCGAGATAAGTAGACCGACTCCTACCTGCATCTACTATTATATTACACCACACATCGACCACTATCTAGCATGCATCTAGTGTATTAAGTTAACAAGAACGGAGTAACGCCTTAAGCAAGATGACATGATGTAGAGGGATATATCCAATCAATATGAACAAACCCCATGTTTTTATCCTTAATGGAAACAATACAAATACGTTTCATGTCCCTTTCTATCACTGGGATTGAGCACGCAAGATTGAACCCATTACAAAGCACCTCTCCCATTGTAGGAAAAATCAATCTAGTTGGCCAAACCAAATCAATAGATCGGAAAGAAATACCAAGCTATATAAATCATGCATAAAAGAGCTCAGGGAAGACTCAAATAATATTCATAGATAATCTGATCATAAACCCACAATTCATCGGATCTCAACAAACACACCGCAAAAGAAGATTACATCGAATTGATCTCCAAAAACATCAAGGAGAACATTGTATTGAAGATCAAAGAGAGAGAAGAAGTCATCTACTCCCTCCGTTCCTTTATGCAAGGTGTATTACTTTTGGCATGGTGACCAAGGCACAAAATTAGAGACATGTTAGGATGAAATTATCCTTGGTAAATTTGTTATTTAGTGGCAAGTAAATCAGTTAGTCCCGGAAAGCAATAGATACATGCAATCGATAGAGATATATTTTCCTTCTTTTGCTACAAGGAGAGATACAGACAATCAGGAGAGAGATACTTTCCATTCCTCTGGAGGGCTAACAAGGGAATTATGAGGCATTAGATGAAATGCACCGTACATTCTAGAATTTTATCAAAAAACAAATACACCTTATATAAAGGAACAGAGGGAGTATCTACTAGCTATGGACCCGTAGGTCTGTGATAAACTACTCACACATCATCAGAAGGGCAGCAAAGTTGATGTAGAAGGCCTCCGTGATTGAATCCCCCTCCGAAAGAGTACCAAAAAGGTCTCCAGATGGGATGTCACGAAGATAGAAGCTTGCAGCGGCGAAGAAGTGTTTCTCAAAAAGTTTTGTTCCATTTGGACTTCATTTGGTATTGATTTTCTGTAAAAACAAAAGAAGGAGAAAAACCGCAAATGGCACGAGGTTAATAAGTTAGTCCTCAAAAATGATATAGAATAACATAATAATGCATAAAAATATCCAAGATCAATAATATAATAGCATGGAGCAATAAAAAATTATAGATACGTTGGAGATGTATCAATACTCTGTCGGCTTTGATTAATAAATCCATGGTGGAGGACGGTTTGAAAGGGTGAACATTTGTAGAGTTGCTCCGGAAATCTCCCACCAGTTATTTGCGGATGATTGACTTTTGTTTTTTGAAGCTTTAGAACAACAGGCAAATCAGGTGAAGGTTTTATTGAACACTTACGCGGCCGCCACGGGCTAATTAATAAACCCCTCAAAGTGCTCCATCCTTTTCTCGGATCATTGCCTGCCAACAATTGCTTCGGAGGTAAAGCGTGTGTTGGAGATTACACAGGAGGTTTTTGAGCCTAAATATTAGGGCCTACCTGTGCCAGAAGGGAGAATGCATAAGGGAAAATTTGAACCGTTCAAGAAAGGTTATAAAAAAGATTAGTTGACTGGAGTGAACAATATATGTCATCAAGTAACAAGGAGATTTTAATCAAGTATGTTGCGCAAGCTATTCCAGCATATGTGATGAGTGTCTTTAAGCTTCCTGCTTCAGTGTGCGATGAGTTAACACGCTTGATACGTCAATATTGGTGGGGTGTTGAGAAGGGGAAGCATAAAATGGCCTGGTTTAGTTGGGACAAGATGAGACTACCGAAATTCATGGGTGGTATGGGTTTTCGCGATATGAGGGCCTTCAATCAGGCGTTGCTGGCCAAACAAGCTTGGCGTCTTGTGGATACACCAGAGAGTTTGTGTGCGAGGCTACTATAAAGGCGAAATATTCCTTCTGGGAACTTGCTGGACTCGGTGTTCTCCAATAACAGTTCAACGGTTTGGAAAGGAATATTGCACGGTCTTGATCTACTTTAAAAAGGTGTTATCTGGCGAGTGGGGAATGGAGCGCTCATATGTACCTGGAGGGATCCTTTGATTCCGCGGTCGTCCTCCTTCCGCCTTGAACAGGGTCTCAAACCTTTTGGATGAGAACGATGTGTGGCAAGTGGATTGGTTATGAGAGAACTTCTGGCCGATGGATATTGATTACATTATGAAAATAAGGACATCTCCAAGGCAGCATTGTGACTTTGTGTCGTGGTTCCCAGAGAAGAGTGGTCAATTGTCGGTCAAGAGCGCTTATAAGCTAGCCACATATGATCACAGTATAGCTATTGCAGGAGGAGCATCATGTTCAGCGCCAAATGGGGTGAGATCAATATGGAATAGTGTGTGGAAATTATTGGTGCCACAGAAAATGAAAATTTTGTCTTGGAAGATAGTGTCCGGCGCCTTGCCGACGGCACAATGCAAAAAGTACAGACACCTGTCCAAGCACTCTTTGTGCCCTTTATGCAGGGTGGAGGAGGAGGATAAGTTTCAGACGCTGGTCACTTGTTATAATGCGCGCCTCATTTGGTTGAGGATGAGATCTAGGTGGCCTCTTCCACCCAATGAGTTCCTAGTTAATAATGGCAAGGAGTGGCTGTTGCTTTTGCTTACCAATTGTTCATAGGAGGTCCGGGATATGGTGATTATGTTGATCTGGCGTATTTGACAACTGAGGACAGATCATACACACGGCAAGGAAATTCCGCCAGTAGATGTTACAGTGGACATCCTAGACAGCTATTACAAGTCCATCAAGCTCGGAAGGAAAAAAAACTGGCTTCTTCTAGATACAAATCAGGGCAGCGAGAGGAGAAGCATGCCCCCTCCACCGCGGCTCCCGGCGACACCCACCCCCGTCCCGGCGCCGGCGGATGCTGCTCCCGGTCTAGTGCTGGGCTCCTGGTTCATGCCCCTGCCACCTCCTCCTGCTGGTGCCCTGCCCCGTTCCCCTGCGCAGCTCGCGCAGCTAGCGCCTCCGACGCGTTCCTCGTCGGCCCCAGATCCAGATCCATGTCGGGGTGGTCGGGGTCGGGTCAGCCCCGCTGCCTCCGTGGAGTTCGTCCCGGACTCGCAGCCAGTCGGGGAGTCTCTGCGCCACGCCCTGGTCGGCTCCAGGCCGGCCTCTTCCGCTGCGCTTTCAACGCGCATTCAAGATGGAGTCCCTCTTTACTGCGGTGGTGGGGGGCAGCTGGCCTCCCCTCGCCCTGCCGCGGGCGCGCCTTCAATGCTGGCTGCTGGCTCTGGTGGCGCGGGGCGCGAGATAGAGGCGACCGGCGGCTGGACGCTGGTCACGTCGCGTAAAGGGCTGCGCCGGCCGGACTTGCCTGCTCCGGCATTCAAGCCGCCGCCCATCCCGCGTTGGCTCTTCGGGCGCTGCTGCAGGTGCCTGGTCAAGGGCCATAGAGCTTCAAGCTGCCGAGACCCGCTTCGCTGCTCCCACTGCCTGCAGAACGGGCATAAATCGCGGGGCTGCCGTAACAGTTGGAGGCCGCTGTGCTCTCTTGACTGCCCCGTCCTGCCACCCCCTCCTCTGCCTCGCCCCGCTGCAACCTCTGCTCAAGCTCCTACCCGCCCAGGCCGAGGGTGGGAAT